GCGACACTTTTGGCGACTAATCAATCGATGCGTTAATGACACATATTTTAGCGACAAATGTGCGAAACGTCTAATTATTTTCGCCACAAATATCGCACTCCTCTCCGCCCGCGATATACACTCAGCGTCGCCCGACTTATGGCCACTCACTCACAGCCCATAAGCCGCCGCGACCGCCGACTCGCAGACGTCACCATTAATTGTAATCATATGATCGGACGCACCGTTGTTTCGCCGCAAATAACACACACAAAACAATAATAGCTTGAAATAGACAGCAGTATTGGTGTATATAAAAACGATTCTTGTCATCAATCAATTTATTATGGATTTAGAAATTATGGGTTTTAAAACATTGGCTCAAAAAAACAAGTGATTCGTTACAATATATTACAATACATTTTTGTACATTTGGTTTTTGTCATATATAAAAGTCGCGTTCAAATTTCATTGTACTAATTATTAATTCAATACGTGATGAGAGCGAACTACACGGGGCTACTACTGGTCGGCCAGTCATACGAGCTCCAGGATCTGTGCCAATTGGATGCAAAAAACGCGAGTCAACACAAAAATATGGTTTTTATTATATATATGTGTATAAAGTCGTCGACGAGTGGAGAGCGAGAGAGACAGCAATGAGAGAGAGATATATAGAGAGAGAGAGAATAAAAACGTAAGAATAGAGAGAATTTGATTAAATGCATCTCAAATGCAATATAAATACAGTGTTAGAGTGAGGGAGAGAGCGAGGGAGAGCACAGGGGTTCTGATAGAGAGAAACGGTTTCTGCCATTAAGTGTGTGGGAACTGGAGTTACGGAGGGGAGAGAGAGAGAGAGAGAGAGAGACTGTAGTCCTGTCGCATGGACTATGCGTTATGTGGATAGCGAGTGGAGAGCGCGCATCACCGCTCACTCCATCCAAACCCACAAAACAATAGAGCGAATAGTATATAGAAATAGAGATTTATTGATTCCTACGCTCCGTGTACTGCCTGTGCTCTCCGCACACCAGTTATACGCTGTATATTCAGCGCTGTACACATATCTATATAGCCGTACAAACCTTGATGGTTCCCTGGCTATTGGCGGCCACCACACAGTTGCTGCCGGAGCGCCAGCACACGGCCGACACGAAGTCACTGGTGTCGTCCTCTCGCTTATCCTTGTCCTACAAATCGTATCGCAAAAACACACAATAAAAACGACGAAACAATCGCTTTTGTCGTATCGCCGGACACAGCAATGCGTATAATAGTATTGCATAATAGAGACAAATAGTCGGAGTAATAGTCGGAAAGTAAATAACAATTGATTTATAGATACGGATAAAGCGTACAAAATATGTCATAATATCTATAGATTTGTGGCAAACAATAGCTAAAAGTTATACAAACTTTTCTCTCGTCTAATCTTTCGGAACGCTATTCTGGTATTCATTTAATGATAAAATTCTAGCAGAGAGAGAGAGAGAGAGAGAGAGAGAGAGAGAGAGAGCAGTGATAATACTCACGAAGACACGGACCGAATCGAACCAAAAAGTCAAGACTTGTTTACTTAAGCCCTTATAGTAGACGAAGAGGGCGTTGTTCTCAGAGCCGCAGGCAATGAAGTCCCCATCGGTGGCCAGACCTACAAAGTTCTTCTCGTTGATGTGTCCCTTAAAGGAGCGAACGCTCGGCGTCTTCGTCGTCGACCACAGCTTCAGCTGACTGTCCGTCGAGGCGGACACGATCTCCTCCTTATTGAGAAACTTCACGTACGACACGGCCTTCTTGTGGCCCTTGAACACCATCAGCGGGTTCTTCGTGTTCCGCAAGTCGTAGTAATGGACGCAATGGTCGGCCGACCCGAACGCCAAGTGATAGCGACTGCAAGGGTTGAACTTAACGGAGCACACGTTGGCCTTGGCCTCCAGCGAGGTCACAGAGTTCTCCACATTCGCCGCCCAGAGCTTCACCTTCGCGTCGTCGGATCCCGAGGCGACCAGATTGGTGTCCACGCGATTGAAGTCTACACTCCAGCACCGTTTCTCGTGCTCCTGGAAAGTGCGCGCCTTCTGGCCGGTGAAGGCGTCCCAAATGGTTACCGTTCCCTCGTAGTCGCTGCTGGCCATCATCGCCTTGTAATAGGAGCTCCAACTGACGCACGAGATCTTCGACGAGCACTCCATCTCATTGATCGGGTAGTGGATGTCCAGCGTGTCCTTCACGACCGTCGCGTACTCGAAGACTTTGATCTTTTTGGTGACGCCGGCGATGGCGAAGTACTCCGAGTCCTTGTCGAACTCGATGCTCGACACGATGGAGGAGCCGGTGAACAAGTCGCTGGCGTAGCAGAGGGTGGCCAACGGCCGGAGGGACGAGAACGACGTGAACTTATTGAGCGTATCGGCGAACTCGTGGAGACCGTCGGTGGAGGTGTCGTCGCCGCTCGACGACAGCACCAGACTCTTGGCTCGGGTCGTGAAATAGCATTCCTCTAAATCGTCGAAATGGTAGTGCATTTTCTTGCGCCGACTGGCGAGCGGCGTCTGGAGGCCCGGCGTTTGCCGGATGTCCGTCAGCGAGCTCTTGTTGAATGTGGCGGCGCTCTCGAGGCTGGCGATGAGCACTGAGCCGCTGCTGGCGGCGCCCGAACCGCTGGAACTGCTGGGCTCAGGGGACGGCCACACGTCCCGGTCCAGTATGGACTGTCCCGTGGAGTCGGCGTTATTCCCGCTGCCGGAGCCGTTATCCGCGTTGACGGCGACGGCGCTGTTATTGGCGTTCAATCGGTTGAGCGCTTCGT